TAGGCGCTGGAGCTCAATTAGCACTCAGCTGGCCATAAAAACGCCAAGCTGCCAACCTGTTTGTTTACTTTGCGGCTCGTTAACGTGCCAAAATCAATTAAGCCAGCCAAAAAACCAAAGTCGCACTTGAGCTTTTCACTTGCGAGGTGCGTTGTCCAAGATCCGCTGATTCGACTGCATGAATAAAAAGCGAAATCGCAGTCCAAATGCGAGCGCTTTGCATATGCCAAGGCAACTTTGAGTTCGATTCCAATTCGGATTAGGCTAGCTTGGCAGAGCTCTCTCTCTCTCTCTCTCTCTCTCTCTCTGTCTCTGTCTGTCCCCACATCTCTGCTTGCATTTCTCTCTTATTCTCCTTGCCACTCCATTTCTTTGCATTCATTTCCATTCTATATGCGCTTTACTCTGACTGTTACGATTTCGAATTCAATTCGGATTCGTCTACATATCTAAGCAGGAGACTAGAGCACTTGCCTCTCACCTTGTCTCTCCCACCTATTCTCCGTTTCTCTGATTCTCTTTGCAATCAATCCATTCCTATATGCCCATATGCCTAAGCAACTCCAACTCTGCCTACGATATTGATTCCGATTCGGAATCTCCGAGACCATTATCAAAACAAAACAATATGTTCTTTCGGAAAATCCCAGTATTTTCCTAATCAAACAAGAGAACGGGAATTAACCCGCAGAATCGTGTCAAATCGGTTTTCATAGATTTTATTTTGCATATTGAAATGTTTTTGTTTTTATTTTTTTTGTTTCGTTTTTAATTTCAATTTGTTGATCAGAGTTTGCAAGAAACATTTAAAATTGTTTATGCTGTTCGTTTGTTATTGTTATAAACATTAATTTATTTTTGTTATTTTTTATTTATATATATATGTGTATATATATATATGTACTATATATTATAAGTGTTGTGCTTTAGTTTAATTTTTTACAGTGTACCAAGTTTTGTTTTCTATTATGTAGATTATCATATGAGATATTTATTTATATATATTTATATTTATATATATTTTTTTCGTTTAATTTATTTTTTCTTATTTTTTTTTTTTTGTATGTTTTTGTTTTTTCTTAATTACCACAACAAGCGTTTCCAGTTTTCTTATTTGATTTACTAACAAATAACTATTCATAGATATATATATACTTCTAGAAAACAATCGCTTTACCGAACTCGAAAACCAATCAGCGATTGCACACATATACATATACATATATTCGAAATGGATTACCGTTTTCTAGTATAGTTGGAATTTTATACAGGACTCTATGCATAGTTAAGCTATTAATACTCGTTTGGTAATTTTACATACTGCTCTCAAATTTCCAGAGAGTTTTATCCATTTTTGCTTTATTTCTGAGTGAGAGTGCTTGAATGGGTGAGTGTGTGTGGGTGAGTGGAGGGTATATTCGGAATTTCGAACTGAGATTCGGACAACAATTTGCAACATTTTATAATGGCTGTGTGTGTGAGAGTACGTTTGTATGTGGAGCTGGGTATGTGTTTGAATGTGTGTGTGTGTAATATAATTTGATGATTTGTGTGTGACAGAGTACGTGTGTGTGTGTGTTTTCGCTGTAAATAATTATTAAAATTAAGTTTTCGTTAGTTTAATATATTTTTTATTTATTTATGCTATACTTAAATGGTTTTCTGTTTACTTGATTTTCATATATATATTTTTCCCATGCAAAAGAAGAATCTTAAAAACGTTTTAAGTACATATAAAAAATATGATATATATATATATATATATATATATATATATATATATATATATATATTAATATATATATATAAACATATATATATATATTTTTATCATTTCCATTACACTCATACATACATATACATATATACAAATACAAGTTGAGTATGTGAGCAACTAGTGAAAACTTGGAAACGATGAAATCAAATCAATCAAATCTAGAAAAGATCCCTTGTGGATCCGATCAAAGCTATATGTTCTCTAAGATCGATTATACTGATTTCTTGGATGCTGAAAAGAACCGAAAGAAAATTTGTTAAAAAAAAAAAAACATGCAACAACGAGAGTTCAAATCTATATTTAATGTTTATAGTTTATTTATTTATTTTTAATTTTTTATATTATATTTTTAAACAATATTTAAACAGTCTGTTTGTGTGAGTGTCCATAAGTATATGTGAGTATGTACGTGTATGTTTGTGTGTATATTCAAATACCATTATTTTTCCCTATATTTCTTGTTTGTTGTTTTTTTTTTTAATTTTTGCTTTGCTTTTTTTACCCGTATTTTAAGTTGCAAATTTCAAATCATAAAGTTTTTAACATCACATTTTTATTTATTTTTATGGAGAAGAAATAGAGCCGAGAAATCCAAAAAGATAACTTTCATGGATATTCTGTATATTTATATATATATTTGTTGTTGTTGTTGTGTGTGTGTGTGTGTGTGTGTGTATTGAGTATTTAAGTCTTAAAAACGTTCATTGTTATAGATTGTTTGTATGTAGTTTAGTTTTTGGTATATTATACAAAACATGCATGGCCATACATATATGATATATGTATATAGATATATATATTTGAGTAGATGTGTTACATTTGTAAGTAGCTGGCTTTGTATGTATGCAGGTATGAATGGCTGTTTGTGTGTGTGTGTGTATTCAGTATTTTCGTGTTTCATTACGTATGACTGAACATACTCGCTGTAAATTGATGAAGGTATGTATGTATGTATATATGGATGTATGTATAGATATTTGTAATGTGTGTATGGATGTATGTGAGTATGGATGTTCATAAGTGTGGTACATACATGCATACTAGCTCTATATTAAGGATGTATAGCTGCATATGTATGTGATGCATATGTATGTGACTGCATTATCTCTCATACAGCATACTCATAGACAATATGCATGTGTGTGTGTGTGTGGCTGCAGTTTTACGCTCAATATGCAATAGATGCATGTATGTGTGTGCATGTTTATTGAGGATAAGCCTCTGTCCTATCACACTTTTCGCGTATCCAAGTCAAAAGCTGCAACTGCATGCATGTATAACATACATACATAAGTACCTGCCTCATGTGTATGTATGTATGAGTGTGCAAATAAAGCTTTACATTTAACACGCAGAGCCAGCTGCAAATGCAAGAACTGTATGTATTTATGTGTGTGTGTGTGTGTGTGTCTGAGTGAATATCTATGTATGCATGTAATATGGGCCAAAGAGTCATTAAGTTTCTATATAGCGGAAGTCGGGGTTCATTTCGGTGTGTAAAGCTTTTTTTTTTTGTCACAAATGCCGTCGTTTGCGTACATTTCGTATTTAATTGTATATTTCTATGATATAAACTGAAAATGAAAGAATTGTTTATTAAATGAAAATCCAATGCAAACAACAAAAAGAAATCAACAAACCAAAAATGTTCTTTAAAGAGTTTTCTTTTTTCCAATGATGTATTTTGTTGCTGTTGTTTTGTTTTTGTTTTTTGTTTGTGTTTTCGGTTTTTATTAATTTTGTTTGTTTTCTTTATATATATATATTTTTAAGTTGCATTTTTTTTTGTGTTTCCATTTATTATCGCTTACACTTACAATGCTAATCGTTTACACGCTAAAGAAAGTACAGCTACGCATATTAATTGTAGTTTATTAATTTTATGTATACATATATATATATATATATATATATATATATATGTAGATATATATATATATTTATTTATTTATATGTATTATAATTTTTCGCATTTTGTTTTGGATTTAAAATATTTACCGAATGCATAAGCATTAAAGTTTCTGCAGTTACAATTAAAAATATTACCTTGTATAAAAATAATAATAATTATAATATTAATAATAATAGCATACATTAATAGTGTAATTTCTGTGTGAGTGTATGTGTGTGTGGGGGTATGTGTGTGTGTGTGTGTGTGTTTACATAATTACTCTTGCCCAATCGATCTCACATATAAATCTTTATCGAATTCGCAACTGCTCCTCTCTATCCGCTTCTCAATTCTGTATTTCATAGTTAAAATACCTAAATGTAGTTTAATTCTTGTTACAGCATAAGTTAATTTAATTTACGTACATTGAAAAATGTTGCTCCTTCCACTACATTCTCATATTTTCTTTAATTATTTATTTTTTTTTTGTTTAGATTTTTTCTCTTATTATTTTTGTTTTTATTTATTATTACTATTATTTTTTTTTTTTTTGTAAACGCACGCTGCCAACGCCTATCGAGTGGGCGTGGCAGCATTGCTAAAGCGCGTGGTTCTGAAACGGCATTTAGCTGGAAAGCTCAATTGCCAAAGGTTCATGAATTTGTGGGTGTGTGAGTGTACAAGTGTGAGTGTGTGTGTGTGGGTGTTTAATTGTGTGTGTACATGTTGAGATGCCAACTAACATTATTTTGTATTGTATTACTTAACATATTTATTAGCTTTATATCATTCAAAGTTATTATCAAATATTTACAGTTCGCTATTTAACACATGAGTTGTTGTTGTTGCTGTTGTTGGTTTTTATTTTATTTTATTTTTAGTTTAGTCTAATTTAGTTGGTTTGCTTGGCTGGTTGCTTTCCTTAATGCAGGGCTGAGCGCTACTATGTTTAATATATATAGATATATATTTATATATATGTATGTATTTATACATATATGCTAGTATTTAGGCTTTAGGGTTAGGCGATCTTGAAAATAAGACCTGAATCGTTACACACATATCTAAAATTAAGCGAACTTTTGTTATTGGTGGCTTCTCAATTATCGACCTTTACACACTTCATCTCTTCGTTTCATTTCGTTTCGTTTAGTTTAGTTTTGTATGTATGCAAGTGCAAGCAACTATCCGAAAACAAGTTACATATTACATAATAATCATAAGAGTTACATAAATCATAACGCCCAGCCCCACTCCACTCCACTCCACTTTCCACTTTCCACTCTCCACTCTCTCCACTGAGATCCCTCCTACGATCCGAACCGATACCAATCCATTTTCCAATTTATTTTACAATTATCCACTCTTGGGGGCTGGCGGAGGGTCTCACAATTTGCAATAATTCACATTGAATATTTGTAGGTTTCTGCTTGATATATGCAATATCTATGTATATATATATATATATAGTAATATATAGTAATTGCAGCAGCAGCAGCCGCTACTCCTCTAGGCAGACGTCTGCTTGCCCAGCTTCACCAGGCAGAGGGCACAGCAGCACTGCGCCGGCTGCAGCAACTGACCCAGGGCCACCATCAGCGGACTGGACCGCGGTGCCGCTGCCGATGGCGCCAGGCTGAGCGAGGTGCCGCTGGGCAGATTAAGCGTGCAACAGCCTCCACTTGTCATTGGATGTTAGCTGCCGTCCGCGTCTCATCTGTTTATCGTCGGAGTTGCGTTCACATTGCTCGTTGTTGCATTCATGCCGCCTCCGCCCGTGCCGCTGCCGTTGTTGTTGTTATTGCTGCTGCTATTTGCATTGTTGTTGTTGTTGTTACTATTACTATTGTTGTTGTTGTTGTTGTTATTGGTGGTGGTAGGCAACACAACGCCGCCATTGTTGGCACTGGCAATCACCTGCTCCACAGTCACATGCACCTTGCCCACCTCCTTGCCAATGGTATCCGCGGCCGCTGCTGCTGCTGCTCCCACATTGTTCGTGACATTGCTGCTGACCAGCTGGCGTATGGTGGTCGGAGTGCCTCCAACGCCACCTCCTCCTGCGCTGCCACCGCCACCGCCGCCACCCGTGCTGTTCACTGTGGTGCCCAGCGGCAGGGTTCGCGTCAATATCGCCGAGTTGTTCAGCCGTCCACGCAACACCTGCTGCAGTCCGGCGGCCCCCAGCTGCATCTGCATCTGGCCGCTGTTGTTCTTCTGCAACGGCTTCACATTCAGCAGGCTCGTGTAGAGCACGCGCTTATCCCCAGCCGAGACCGGCACCTGCACCTGCGTCCCGCCCGTTTTGAGTTTCTGGTGCTGCTGCAGCTGCTGCTGCTGAATGGCGGTGGGCAGCGGTGAGCCTGTCTTATTCAGCACCACTGTGGTGGCGCCCAGCTGCTGTGACGCCTGGGTCACCAGCGCGTCGGCCGCATTGCCCGTTGTGGCGGTGCTCACAAAATTCAGCTTAACATTGGCATTGGGCAGCTCCTTGTAGTGGAGCTTCTGCTGGCCCGCGTTGCTGGCAGCCACCGCCGCCTGCAGCTCGCTGGCCGTGGCGATGAAATTGCCGCCGCTGCCACCGCTGCTATTGCTGGTTAGGAAGATTTTGTTGGCCTGCTGCGGTCCTGCCTGGGAGGTGATTATGGCTGTGGCCGGCTGCAGGCTGTAGTTGTGATTCGCCGCAATGGCCGCTGCTGAATTGGGCTTCTGCTGCTGCTGCTGCTGATTCGTTTGCTGCTGCAGATTGAGGTCCGACACAATCAGCGGGAACGGCGACATCTTGATCACCTTGCTGAATTTCTGTAGCTGCTGATGTTGCTGTTGTTGTTGCTGCTGCTGCAGATGCTGCTGCTGCTGCTGCTGCTGCAGTGCATCGCTGCCGTCCTGCAATGTCAGCTGCTCGCCAGCTCCGCTAGCCACCAGCTCATCCTCTTGCTGCACCAGCTGCTGCAGCTGCTGCTTCGTTAGCTGGAACTGCTGCTGCGTCACTTGCTGCTGCCCCACCTTACGCTGCGAGAACTTCCGGTTCAGCAGCAGTTTGTTAATATCTGCAAGATACAAACCCAACAAATTATTACAGTAGTGAAACAGAGTAAGTAAAATTCAGCTACATTGTGCAAATGAACAAAGAAATTTAAATGAGAAGTGAGGGAGAGAGAGAGAGAGTGAGAAAGAGGGGATGGTGAGAATGAGAGCTAATAGATCCTACGCCAACTTCAAGGTAAAGTCAGATCAATATATATATATTTCATGATCATGTTAGCTCTGTTAATAGATCGGCAGCTCAACAGAGATGTAGCTACTATTATTATTGTCATCGAGTCGGTTGCTAAAATCGGCATCAAATTCCTCTGAAGAGACTTCAGAGCCATTCATTCCATGCTACGCAGATTTACTCTTATGTGTAATACATAATGTTTGAAACTAATGTTACATAGTTCGTTTTTCCTAAGCGATTAATGATATTTTATCAATAATTCTTATAACAAATGTTTCATCCATGTATCTCTCTTTCCCACTGTTTCGTTAATCATTATTCAACTTCAAAAATATCTATTATTATTTTTATAAACAAGTAAATTATTTATGTTAATCTATTCCTAAGTATAAATTAATATTCCTTTTATATTGTTTTCAAAATATTGTGCTCATTAAATTAATTTTAACATAGTCTTCAGTCCCACTGCTATTTTTGTAAACATTCCTGTTCCCCTTCCTATGGAGATCTAATTTGTTTACATTTTTCTGTTTCAGCTCAGAACATTTTGTTTTATGTCATAAGAACAATACGTATTTTTTAAGTAGCATTCACAGAAAATTCTCAAAACTCTCTTATCTATAGTTTATACATTTGGTGTCCGCTTTATTGACAGCTTCCTGTAACGCACGCTTCAAGGACATTCAGAATGAAAGTGTACAAGGATATCTTCACTGGGGACGAGATGTTCACAGATACGTATAAAATGAATTTGGCCGATGATGTTATCTATGAAGTATTTGGCAGTTTGGTTACACGCAATCAGGACAACATCGTGCTGGCCGGTGCCAATCCATCGGCTGAGGAGGAGGACGAGGGCGCCGATGCGTCTGTCGAAAGCGGCGTCGACGTGGTATTGAATCATCGACTGCAGGAGTCGTTTGCCTTTACCGACAAGAAGTCCTTCACGCTCTACCTCAAGGACTACATGAAAAAGGTGCTCGAGCATCTGCAGCAGACTGCTCCGGCAGAGGTCGATGTCCTGAAGACCAACATGAACAAAGCGATGAAGGACATTCTCGGGCGATTCAAGGAACTGCAGTTCTTCACTGGCGAATCAATGGACATCGATGGCATGGTCGCCATGTGCGAATATCGCCAAGTGGATGGCGAAATCGTTCCAGTTCTCATGTTTTTCAAGCACGGCCTCCAAGAGGAGAAGCTTTAAACTCTGACAATTTGGCAGAAACTATATGAAAATTGTATTCCAATGTGCGCTAAATTAATAGAAAATTTCTGCTAAGGCCTTTGCCTTAGAATAACTGAGTTTTATTATATAGGCTCTTAGGGAAGATCAACTATCCTGTTTACAGATTATAGCTTTTAATAATAAACTTTTATTTCGCTTTAACTGCCATAACTTTTTAATCTTCAGTTGTCCACAAAAGTTTGAAAAACTTTTTAGCACTTAAAGACAGCGAAGGATAAAGTATTATCCGATATGAACTTAACGGGATCATCTTAAGACAGACGAGAATAAATAATAAAATAAATGTATAGTTTCAAGCGTTCATGTTTCGTGCATAAATATAAAACCCAGCATTCCCCAATCTATAAGCTATGCAATTAAAATGAAGTCTCAATAATATAGATAACCAACTAATAAAATCATATCTGTCCAATGGAAGATATGTCGAATATCTACGATGCAAGATGCTAAAATATAAAAGGAAATCTTGCAATGCTTGAAGACTTCAGTGGTGCCCTAAGAAGTATGCTACACAATTTTAAATGGCTAAAGGCTAGAGAACCAAACGATTTTAGATATAAAATAATAAGTAACTAATAAAAGTGAAACACACATATATAAAAATTAAAAAATTAATGAACATAATAAATGAAGAAATAATCATGAATGAACTCAAATAAAATTAATGGATTTTCTCAAAACTAAAACCAAACCCAATTTAATGAATACAAAAAGTAAATCAATAAAAAGCAATAAATAAATATAAATTGAATGAAATATTCCCAAAGCCCAATTCATGTTAATTCTTTACTCGCTCGCTGATTCGTCGACTTTTGCAATTGCACAATGCAATCTTGAATTAGTTAATTCAGCTTCACTCACCTGTGTTTTCCGGTCCGTTCTGCCGCTTCTGGGTGGCTCGACTCGTCCACACAATCTTATTGCCCACCGCTGTTGCCGAATCGGCTGTGGTGCTAGAGAGCACCGCTGTGGTGGCCACCGCCGTGTTGGTGCCGCTCACCTGCCGCCAAACAATTGGCTGCTGCTGTTGTTGCTGCACGAGCTGTTGCTGTTGCTGCTGTTGATGCTGCTGCTGCTGCTGTTGCTGCTGGTGGGCATTATTGTTGCGCGTGGTCACAATTAGTGGCGTGCTGGTCGTCGTCTGCTGTTGCAGTTGCTGCTGCTGTTGTTGCTGCTGCTGCTGCTGTTGCTGAATGCCAGAGATGCTGTGCACCGCCAACTGTTGCCCGCTGGCGGTGTTGATGATGTTGACACTCGATGGCTGCGAGGCGGATGCCGAGTTGTCATCGTTCTGCAGCTTGACGTTGGACAGCGTGATGACCGTGTTGGGCCCAATGGAGGCGCTGCTGCCACCGGCGCTCTTCTGTATGGCATATGTCACCTTCTGGGCGCCCACCTGGCCTGCCGCGGTCATGATCTCGCCGCTGTTCGTCGTATAGATCATGTGGTTGCCGCTGCGTGACGTCACAATGCTCTGCGAGGAGATCACAGCTGCTGAGCCACCAATATCACGCTGCATCTGCAGCAGAAACTGTTGCGGCTGTTGTTGTTGTTGCTGCTGCACCTGCTGCACTTGCTGCTGTTGCTGCTGTTGGTGCTGGGGTGTCGCCTGTCTCTGCTGCACCGTGACATTGCGCAGCTGCGCCTGCGCCAGCTGATGCTGCAGCTGCTGCTGCTGTGGTGTCAACGCCGGCAGCGGACTGCTGCCCGTATGCGGCGTTATGGTCACAATATCCCCAACGGCCGTGCCACTGCTCACAAACTCTGTCCTCGCAATCAGCTGGGTGGCAGCTGGCGTCGCGCTGGCGGCAAACTGATTGAGCAGTTGCTGTGTCACAGCCACCTGGGCAGGCTTCGATTGCTGCGGCAATTGTTGCTGTTGCTGCTGCTGCTGCTGCTGTTGTTGATGCTGTTGCTGCTGCGTTGTGATTTGGGCGGGTATGTTGAGCAGATGGGTGGCGGCTGTGCTGGTGGCAATCAGCGGCGCTGCAGTTGGTGTGGCTGGCACCAGCTGTGGTGCTGGCACTGGCACAGCAGGAGCTGATGCTCCAACCGGCATTGCGTTGGCGGGCGAGGATGTCGTTAAGCTGATTTCTGCCGAATGTGGCAATGCGATCGAGGGTGTGCTTATGCCGTCCGCCGGTTCCACCTTGATGGGTTGCGTGTGCTCTGGCGGTGCGGCTTCTGGCAATGCCTCCGACGACGGCGGCGGCTCCTCCTTGACGGGGGGTGCTTGACAAAAGAAGGAGGACGGCACATCGGCTGTTCTGAAGCTGGAGCTACCGAGGGGAGCGGATGGGCCGCGATGGTGCGCACGATGGCGTGCCGTACGCTTCAGTTCGGAGGCGGTGGTTGTCTTGCAGTCGAGGAGACTCTCAGCGTTGTCGACATCATCGACAGCCGTCTCGCCATCAAGGATGTTCCAGAAGTTGGCGGCCTGATTCTTGGGATCATCCATGCTGCACTCGTGCAGAATATTGTTGACCAGATCGTCACCCAACAGATTGATGTCGTTGAGCGAATCGCCGCCGCTGAGATTGAACTCCAGCGCAGAGCCTTCACCAGAGCCCGAGCCCAAGCCCGAACCAGTGTCGGAGCAGTCGCCGTTTGTGTGATCGGGACTTCGATTGCTGTCGCGCGCATAGTCCAGCGCGTAGGCGGTTTGCAGCAGCTGAGCATCCGGGTCGAGATCCGTGTACTTGAAGGCGGTGCTCATGAAGTGGGCTTCGCTGGCGGGATCGTCGTCGTCACTGCATTTGCCCAACAGGCTCAGCTCGATGCTAATGGGCGTGTCCTGTGTCCAGTCGACTACCGCAGCATCGCAGAGCTTGCCATTGTCCTCGTCCTCGTGATTGCTGTCCGACAGCTCGTCTGTGGGCGTCTTTGGCCGAAAGTGCAGCCAGTCGCGCCTGATCTCCGACAGCAGCTCATTGCAGATGTCCAGGCGTTGGCTAGATGTTGGCGACAGTCCGCCCATATAGTCATAGGCTTCGCTGTCGTCCTCCGTTGGCACGGATGCCGTCGCATCCAAATCCCCAGCATCAATGTGCAGTTGCTTATTGTGCAGACGAATGACATCGGGCATCTGATTGAAGCATCGTGTTTGGCTCTCCAGCTGTTGTTTCTCCTCCTGCCTTTGCCTCTTCTGCTGCTCTTGCTGTTGCGCCTGCAGCTCCTTTTTGACGGCTGTGTGCTTTATAATGCTGCTGAGCTGTGCCAGATTAACATCATCCTCGGCCTCATCGTCGTCCATCAAGTCCTGAGGCTGCTGCTGCTGCTTGCTCTGCATTGATGCTGCTGTACGTATGCTGCTCAACGGCTCATTCGAGTCATCGGCATCGATCAGTTCGCGCTTTATCGTCCTGGCCACATCCTCGACCTCGACCTCGCTCGCTGAATTTGCAGATCCGATTGCATTTGTTGTTGTTGCTGCAGCTGCAGCCTCGGCAGCGCGTGCTGCTGCTGCCGCTGCTGAGGTGGAGGCCACTGGCTGCTCAATCCGAGTTGTCCCATCGTCTCCGTCCGCATCCTCATCCTCCACTTTTATCACATTGAATTTTTCGCTAATGCTAACATTCTTATTCATATTACTACTACTACTACTATTGTTGTTGTTGTTGTTGTTGTTATTATTAAACACGGTATTGTTGTTGTTATTATTATTATTATTGGAACGGTGGTGCTGATGATTCGCGTGGCGTGACTGCTCTATCAGCTCATCGCATACTTCCTGCTTCACCTCCAGCTCTTGCTGCGGCTGCTTTCCCAAACTCATCCCATTTGCATCCGTTAACACTTCCGTCTGCACTTTCGTTGCAGCTGCAGCTGCAGTTGCCTTTGCCGCTACCGCTGCCGCTGCCGCCGTAGCAGCCGTCGTCGTCGAATGCAGTGCCCGTGCCAAGCGTTGCAAATATGACCTAGGCAGAGGAAGCAGACGCGGCGCATCCTCGTCCATAGCCACGCCGTCCTCGCTATCCACCACAGCGCTCTTCAGACGCTTCGCGGCATTCTGCTCCCGCAATTGTTGCTTCTTGCGATGCATTCGACGTCGTTTCATGCGCTTATCGAAGGGACTTTGCTGCAACGTCACCGCTGAGCTGTAGATGTTCAGACGCGACACATTCTCATCCTCTGTGTTCAGGTCATCCTCTTCTTCATCATCTTTGTCCTCCTCATTCTCCTGCCGCTCCTCCTTGGGCAGCACCTGTTCACTGGCCGGCTCGACCTTAAGGACCGCCTCGGGAGTTGCGCTGCCATCCCCAGTTACCGTATCCGCCTTGCTGGTGGGCAGATCAACTACGGTTGGCGGGGAGCTGGGCTTGGACAGTTGCTGTTTATGATCGTACTTCGAGGGCTTGCCGCTCTTCACAACACTCTCCAGCACCGTATAGTCGAACTGGGACCACAGGTCGTCGTAACAAGTGCTGGCCCGGTCAAGCAGCACACGTCCGCCGCGACCCAGACGCCGGCGCGCAAAGCCTATGCAGCGTGGTCTGCAAAAAACAATGAACCATTGATTATGCCATCAAAATTATATAATTCAGTAAGCCATCGCACCTGTCATAGTTGATCGATGTTAACGTATAACGATATTTAGCGTCAACACCACCGGCCGCACCGGGCGGCGCATCCTCGTCAGCGGGCGCTTCCCAGGGCCAGCGACCTTCGTCAACGGCACGTGTCTGTTGAAAAGGAGAAAGAGAAAGGAATTAAGAATTATTTTCATGCATGACACATAAATGTAATTTAAATCTGTTATATACTAGTAGCTGTTACGAAAGATGTAATAGACAAGTAGTCAAGTCTCGACCATTTGTACCCCGCCAAATTAAAATTCGCCATAAATCGAAAAAAGATCTATCCCCTTGAAAGAAATTCGTTCTTTATAATTCTCTGAACATCTGTGTAAATCGAAAACAAAAAACTGATACCCTTGCCATTTCGAATTATCGGGATTCTAGTGTACTGCAAATCGTTTAATGGTTATATTCCAAATTTGTTAACAACTGAAACCTCAAATCGTTTTCAATTAAGGAATCAATCTAGCTGAATTTAAACTTCATGTTGCTTCACTTTGTGAACTGTTAAAAAATAATATTTACTTTTGAAATAAAAGTTAAATAGAGAAAGGGAAAGAAAGAGCAGCCAAAGCAAAATTATCTCTCAAATATAGTTGGCCTTGTTAAACTGGGGCAAACAAAGAGCTATTGCGGTCTGCAGCAGCATTTGGAGTACCTGTGGCTATCCCTGAAGCAAAAACGCGCCGTAAGGATTGAAGTTGAAGGGTTTAATTTTAAAAAGCTGAATTCTGTGCTCAGTTTTAAACTAGTTTTCAGCTCAAACGTATTCAAAATCTCTACATTCTTTCAATCATTTACTATTACTCCATATAGACGCTGAATGTAACCAGGAATGCATTAAATATTCATATATTCATATTCATTTTTATATGCAATCAATGTGAATTATCTTTTATCTATAAGAAATTTATCCGTAAATGCTTACAATTCCCTGCAACGCTTGCAAATGGATATACCAAAAGAAGCCGGAGGCGGGCCAGTAAAATATATGAATTGAATATGTATGGGAACCTAAAACTCAGATGTACTTCCTGTTATTGATTGTTGTTATTGAAATTTATAAATAACTTATTGCAAAGAGTAGAGTTGAGCTTTGAGAAATAGACATAAAGATAGATGGCGTTATCAAGTTCTAAAACTAGAGCAAGTGTAACATGTCAGATATGTTCCCCATCAACTAGCATTCTTGCAAACTATATTCATCCGAATAGAACTCTAGGTTAAAAATATTCCCATTTTATATTGAATCTTAGCACTCTCTTATGGATAGATTTATGACAGATTAAGCAAAAGCTGATCTTGAGCATGTGCCATTGAATCCTAGAAATGGATTGCCCCTCAACCTCAACTTGGTTTAAGTCAACTTACCCGCAGGTAATTACACCTGGGCCTGCGTCTAAATGCAAACGGCGCCTCCTCCTCGCTCTCGGAGCCCAGCTTGTTGCCGTTCTGTGCGCCGACAGCAAGATAGTCGTCCTCATCGCTGTCCGCAATTGAGTCGTTGCCTGCTGGCGATGAGCTCTGGCGATTAAGCCGATGCAGATGCGCAGGTGAAATGCCCGACGCTGAAGACGCCAGGCTCATGCCCGGCAAATACTGTTGTTGCTGCTGCTGTTGTTGTTGTTGCTGCTGGTGTTGTTGCTGCTGCTTGTCGCGCGGAAGTTTGTGTTTGCGCTTCTTATACGGCCGTTTCTCCTTTCGACTGCTGCTACCGTTGCCACTGCCAGCGCCGATGCCCTCTGCAAATGTATAAACATATTATGAACAGACTCCAAATGTTTTGATATTTTATATTTTACCCATAGTCAGACTCGATGTGTTCAGGTACTGCGATGCCTGCCCATAGACGGCCGAGTTGCTGTTTGCTCCCGTTGCCAATATGCCAGGAGACAGCACACCACCAGCTAGCAGAGCACCACTCGCTGTTGTGCCAGCCGCCGGTGCGCCTTGTGAGTATTGATTCGTATACAATGAATTGTATACGGGTCTGAAAGCAAGCAAGCGTTAAAATATTATTCAAGTATTACTAACATCTACAACTGCCCAGTGGCATTATTAAAGGCAGCTTCAAAACAACTTCTCCAGTCGAGGCTGCCCGACTAGTCTAATCATTCTCTACTTTTACGGAAATGTCTAGCGCTTACGGTGTCCAAGCTATGGAGAAAACACTTAATAAAATGACCGATTTTTTCGAGTTAAAAAACGAAAGGTAAATTATTACTATGCTATACACGAGTATACAGACGGACATATGCCTATATCGACTCAGTTCGTCGTCTTGATCAAAAATATATATATTCCTTATGACGCCTGCCACACCTACTTCTGCCTGTTACGGACATTTCAACTAAATTATTTCACGCTGATTTCCTATTTTTAATGCATTCAGGCTATAATCATTAAAAGCAATATATATACATATTGTAATGTTCCATAGAACTGATTCGCACCTCGAGTTCTTATATTGGGCATTCAGCTCCGAGTAGACTGCACCGTTAAAGTCGCGCATCTCGACACGTTTCTCAAAGATATTGACCGTCATCTTCAGATGATCTCGCTTTGTTTCCTCGCGACGTCGCACCATTTCCAATATAGTTGTGGCGCGTTGCAGGTCGCGTCTGCAATACATTGAAAAAGGAGAATAGCTTAGAAATAGATCCAAGAGGAAGCCTCAAGGAGTCCAATTACCGCAACTTAAGCATCTTCTCGTAGGAGGCTTCGTCGTTTTTGCGATTCTTTCGTGTTTGCATCTTCTCAGTGCGTCGTCGAAACGCCAGATAGGGATTATTAGAACTCGCCCCCGGTCGGCTCTCCGTCTTGACCGTGAGTATCAGCGGATGTTGCTGCAATGGCAAAACGACGCAAGCATATTAAATTTGAGAGACTCTAGATAAACTATGCTGATGAAATCATTAACAAATGTTTGTTTACCATATTGAGGCGCTTGTTCAGCCAGTAGTCGTACACTGATATGCTAGTCTCGTCGTCCTGATTGAGCAACGTTTTCGCCTCATTGAGTGTGACGACAGTTTGGCCGGAGCTCTTCTCCAGCCGATCCATCATTTGTTCGAACTTCAGCTCGGTCAGCTGCAAGCGTTGCTGTTGGCTCAGCCATTCCTCATCCGCGCTATCCAGGTCATAGTCCGGCACCTCAGTGTCCAGGCCCAGGGCTACAAGTTGACGTTTTCAATTGATTATGAAGGGAAAACAAGATTAGGACTCGAGAGCTTACGCTGCATGTGAATCATTTGGCGGGGCATTTTGTAGTCTGGCGGATAGTAGGCATCGTAGAACTGCTGATCCGTTTGCAGCACCTCTGGCGTGGGTATGATGAGGCCAGTGCAAATGGCTCGCTGCAAATGATGTTCCTGCAAAATGGATGAATATGCATTAGAATTAGCCAAGGGTTGCAATGGACATCAGTTCTATGCCAATCTCAAATCACCGACATCAATAACTCACCGACTCTTCCTCTTTCTCCATGCCACTTGGCATCTGTGGCACGGCGCGATTAATGGCCGAATACTCGGGCAAATCGGGCAGCTCCTCCGCCAAGTAGATGGGCATCTGCTTGGACGGATCCAGGTGGCGTGCTCTAAATGATAGTTTCGACATTTTGTGGCTGTTACTTCGTCTCCTTCTTCTTCTTCTTCTTCTCCTTTCTTTGTATTTTTGGATGTTTTGTGTAGTATGGAACGTTGTTGTTTTGCTGCTATTAACTGATTGTGGAATTGTTTGTTGTCTGATTATTTTATTGCTGATTACTGCAGTTGTGGGTGAGGGGTGATGGTGGCGGTGGCGTTGGCTCTTAAGTTGCTATCGATGCCTGGTTGTGGCAACTGCCAATGGCTGATCCCGCAACGACCACTGGCAACGGCTGATTCCGATTTCTACAGCAGCGATTTGTTGCTCCTTGTGATTGTGTTGGTGCTTGTGCTGCTGCTCCTATGCACGAGCCTTTCAACAGATTCGTTGTTCTAGTGGTTGCAGCAGCAGCTACTGTTGTTAGCCTCGCAAATGAAGCGTCTATGGATGGAGGAGATATGCTGCTCTTAAGCTTATGTATCGACGTCAACGTTAACGCCGAGCGAGTCTTATTTGTTGTTGTTGTGGTTGGTAAACGCAGCACCGGCTGCTCTGCCTGCGCCTCCGACTGAGCACCGGGGCTGCGGTGGCAATGGCTGCTCTGCCAGCTAATATACGCAGCCCCTGTGCCCGCTTCCGTTTCCGTGCCCGTGCCTGTGCCCGTACCCACGTCCCGGCTCCGGTTGCTGTTGGCGGCTTTTTTGTTCGTACGCCGTTCGATCACGGCCGCGCCAGTTGCGACTGCTGTGTACAAAGGCGTGTCCAACGTAACTGTTGGATAACTTCTAGCTGTCGCTGCTGTTGTTGTTTTTTGTGTAGTATTTGTTGCTACTGCTGGGCCGCTTCCTCCGCCGCTGCTGCAGCTGCAGCTGCTGCTGCTGTTGCTGCTTCTGCCGTCGTCGTCCGCCGCCTCTGCCTCTGCTGCCGTCTGTTGCTGCTGCTGTCGTTGCTCGTGGTATGCAAACAGCGCTGAGAGGACCAACAGGGCCAAAGAGATTAGTTTATTGCAATTACGACGACAACGCAGTGGTAGCAACAACAATAACGAGTGCGGCAATTGTGTCGACGACATTTTTCACGTTGAAATCCAAAAAATTATGTGAATTGGCATAATTACGTTGATCAAATTTGCACATTTCAGTTCATCTTTATTCTTAATAAATTTATTTTGTTTCTTGTCTTCCTATTATTATTGACTTTCACTTGTTTTTCTTTAGTTTCTGTTCTTTTGTTGCTCTCCTTGGTGTTACTTTATCAAATCTGCAAAGCAACAACAACAAAACGAATAAGTAAACAAACCATTCACACACACACACACACAGAAACACACACGTCCGCACAAACACACACATACTCACACACTCATATCAGACATACAGTCAAACAAAACAGATAATGATACACACACACATATAAACGCGCGCGCGGGAAAATTTTTCGGGCTGTGTTTTTCATTTGCAAATGCACAACACACAGACACACACATGCACATTTATCCCATACAAAAGAAGTCCCACGCAAAACATACACACACACATGCATGAACATATTATTTTGATATTGTCTGACGCTATCGGAGAAATGAGATCGTTAATTTGCTGGCGACAAAATTGATGAATCATTTCAATTCATTTTTCAGTGTGAGTGTGAAATGAATAATAAAATGAGTTGTAGTTGTGCTTAAAACACTCGAAACAAAAAAATGCAAAATCATAGGGAACGCGAGAAGATAGAAGCAGAAAAGCCGCACCGCACCGCCGATGCGAGCGTAAAAAAGGCGGCATAAACAAACACACACGCGGCGAGTTCGCCCAAACAAACGCGGCGAATTGCACGATGAAAAAACACGAAGCCTATCCGCAAAATACGACGAAAAAACGTAGCGCTCTTCATGTGGGTTTTGTTTTTTGCAATTATTAGCCAAATCATTTATATTTTCCAGCAGCGATATTTTGTATGCAGTTTCAATAAATGTTTAACACACTTTACCACGCTTTTCACACGCCTGCACGCACAATTTTGTTGATAATTCGTTAAAAAATTTACACAAATTTCACGAATTTTGCGTATAGCGTGGTTTTGCTGGAAGCAGTAATGGCGGCCAGAGCCGAAGACTAACGACGGCGAGTGGCATTCCCAGGCCGCGAATTAATTGCTTGTAACGTCGGCGTTGCATAAAAGCGACTAGGGCGCAACGATAACATATATTTCTTATGGCGTATTAAAAATAGGCAAGAAACTTATGCGAAAATATTGTCTTAGCATTGTATTATAATAAATAACTCATTTGTTGAGCCGCGCTACATAAAAACAATAGTTATCGATTGGGCGAACAACGGCGTTGACGACTAAAAACACGGCATAGAACCCTGCGACTCCGAAGCATGTACCAATACCGCCCTCTGGCGAGCTGCACTCGCAAAAGAGGCAACGGCAGCGAAAAGTTTTTTTTTTTCACAAACAAGAAAATCGATTTACATTTTTCACGCACAATTTTTGCACTTTATTTGACCTTATCACTTTGCAATTGAGTGGAAATCATATGCTTTCACTGTATTTTTGTTTTCCGCAGCGAAACCAGCAATATTTTTGACAGTTTCGTCAACAAAAACGTTTGAAATTGTTTTTCTTCTGCGGACACGTTTTTACTTAATGGCGGGTGGCCATCACGAATTGATACTAAAGCATTTTCGGAGTTGATCGCTCGTCGCAATGCTGTGGAAATTATTTTGGGTAGCTTAATTTGTGTTGCATTTGATGAATTTGAATGGGGTTTTTTCTAAAAATTGCAGAATTTAAATCTAAACGAGATGCATACAATGGGAACATAAATAATCCGCTGCATTTGTCCAAAAAATTGTTATTAATTTTTTGTATCGTCAGCGGACTACGAGTGCCAGCGGCTTAGTGATGTAATCAACATAACGTTAACAATGTATCGATATAAAAATATATACTATCGATTGGAATACTAAAATCGTATCTGTCGTAATATTTACTTAACGAAATATCAATTATTTACTCTATAGCTCAAATATTTTTAAAAAATTTACCCGCCAACATAATAATGTTAAGATACAACAACAATATTCCCTTAAAATGCAATGCTCAAAATAAGAGAATCTACTTTTATTATTATTGTGTGTAGCTTATTGTTACATATGTATGAAAATGTTAAACACCAAATATTTTGAGAAAGAATTTATTTTTGACCGAATTGAAAAGAAATCTAAACTCGAAACCATTTCTGTCCTCCTTATAATATACGCCAGTTTTAACTAATTGATAATTCAGCATTTGCTAGATCAAAATATGTATAAACATTAATATTGTTATCTGCTATCCAAATAGTTCGCTGCTGTTTTAAACAATAACAATTTATTAACAGTCTGTTATGAGTATCTGAGAATGTCTCCGTGTGACACAGCACATAGCTTTTGACTGAGCTAAGTGAAGTAGCTGGACAATGTTTAATTTGTGGCAGCCCTCGCTAGTGAGCAAGCTCATCCTCGAAGATCGCTGTAATTAACAGTTGAAGTTTCTTGCTTACATTTAGAATGTTTCCAGGCTCGTTTCTCGACTAAATATAGGATCCAAATTTAATGAATATTGAAAAAAAGTTTTATTTCGATTTTTTTTTTTTTTTAATTTTTGATTTTTTTATTGAATTATAGTAAAAAATGCAATAAATTCACATTTGATGCGTTTTTATTTGTAAATAATGTAATAATATATGAATTTATATATGAAAGACGGCTCTTCTTCATCTTCGTCTGGGTATTTGCTTTGGGTGATTGCTTTATTGAAATGTATATTTTAGGTACATTAATTGAACTTCAAAGATTAAAAATAACTGTGATATCGGATTACTATGGTACTCATAAGGTAATCATATAATAAATTTAACTGATACCTTGACAAACTCTTATAGAACTAGTTAATTGCAGCGAAAGGCTGGATAATTATTATAGGTCTAAAGCTTTTTTGATAAATATGCTTTTCTTTTGTTTTTGTTTTTTTTTTCTTCTGTGATTAATTATATGTATTACATTTATAGTGTTCAACACTTATGTATAGAGAGCTTAAGAAAGAGTGTCTCAAAATTTGCAAAAGCTTAGGCTTAGGCAAAGAAAATCAAAATTAGAAAATAACTAAATCAAAGCGTATTTAGACTTAAATATTTAATTGCGTATAGCTTGAACAAATAGAAAGCTTTTGCCTTTTGGTGTTCGAATAGCTTCGTAAAAGCGACTAAAAGCCTTCAAGCTCATCTTCGTTTCTTTTTACTCCGTTGTTGACGATGTTGTTGTTTGTTGCTGAAGTTGCTGTTACTGTCGTTGCCCAATCTGTTGTTGTAGCTGCTGCTGTGGCTTTTGCTGTTGTTGCTGCTGATGCTTTGAGTACGCCGCAGGGACGTTCACATAGTATACATATAAGGGTGGCTGGCCCTGTGACAGAGTGCGCTTTGTAGCCAGGCAGGCAGGCGAGCACGCACACACGTACGCACGCGAACTCACACAGGCACAGGGCCGAGCCGACGGTATGCAGTTGCACAGCAATGTGCGCGCGCAGTTTGCTCACAATTATACTGCAAGCGCACACACATACACTCACAGTCACGTACAGACATATGTACGTTTGCATGTGTGGCGTTTGGTTGTGGAGCAACTGTCGCGCCATTGCGGCTACTGTCATGGTTGGCGATGGCGTACATGATGAAAAAATTTTAAGTCAGACAGTGGTGGCGTATGTGAAAAAGCACCATAGCGTATAACGGTAATGGTAACGGTAACTGTAATCGTAATGGTATTTAGGTAATGATAGCGCATCTCCAACGTGATTGAGAGTGGAAAACGAGAGAGAGATAGAGGGAGAGAGAAAGAGACAGTGTGCGAGTACGGCAATAGCGCTGCGCGAGAGAGCGATAAAATCAATTGCGCACACAGCGTGCGCCTGTGCAGCTCCTGTTAGAGAGGGACAGAAAGCGACTTATGCCTATGAAATGTTGAGCAAAATGTGGCGAACTGAGCACAGGCCATTCGACCTAACTGTAAGTAGTACATGCATGCACATATGTATATACGCAGCTAGGTAACTACGTACAGCAATATGCATTGCGAATGCGTGCCGGTAAATGGATGGCGTCTGGTGTATGGCTCTCGGAGAGGGTTGGTGAGTCTTGTGACAACGCACAGAATACAATTTGGTACTTGGTATTTCATTTTGTATGCGCATGTAGGTGTGAATGTATGCAAGTGTGTGTGTGCACATGTATGTAGCGACTCGGTGTCCATATCGAGAAACGAAAGAAATCATAGAAGAAATTATGATTCAACAAAGAAGGCGACGCACAAGGTTGGGGCTCATCTCGGGATTTGAATAGAGGCGATTTCTGAATGAACATAATTTTCGAAATCAAAAAAAGAAAAGTATATATACATATATATAAGGAAATGTTGGTTTTTCTCAAGTTCGTTTTCGTTTTCGTTATCGTTTCTGTTTTTGTTTTTGTTTGAGTTTTTGATTTTCTGTTACAATATTCAACAACCAATACCAATATTCTTAAACTGTTTTAACTGTTATATTGGTAATGTCTTTGATATTAATTTAGTGCTTTTTGTATTGTGAGGAATTTATGGTTAAAAAACGGGACTATTTTTCTACCCTTCGATAGGGCTTTCATTAAGAAAAAATAGATTGAATTAGAACCGCGCCTGGTATAAAAAAATTAATCTTTATGATTTTCTTTCTTTTGGCTAAGACTGAACTGTGTTTTGTGCTGTATTTTAGATCAGTTAGGATATGCACTTGAAACTTTGAGGAAGCGGATCGAACTTTTCTATATTAGAGGTCTGCAAAAATAATTGGGTTAAGTTACATGCGTATCTAACATGGCTTACGATCATAATCCAAATCCCAATCCCAAATCCCAGTAACGAGTGCATATCTCACATGGGGAACGTGTGTGTGGATAGTATTTTCTTTGCTTTGATTTGATTCACCGTGTTGTTTGCTTATAGTGAACTACGGAAGTGTCTAAAAGAGTTCTATGTTTCGTGAAGTATACATTAGTAAAAAGATTGTTAAAGAAAAGAGAGGTTAAGAGAGCTTTGAGAGAATAGAGAGGTTGAGTTGAGAAATATGAGATAAAGAGAGATAAATAGAGAGCGAGAGAAATATATATATATATTTAGAGAGAGAGAGAGAGAGAGAGAGAGATGTTTTAACTACAAAAAGTACTAAACTAAAATAATATTTTGTTTGTTTGTTTTTGTTGTTCTTCTTCTTTTTTCATTTTGCACTACAAATCTGTGTGTGTATATGGGAGTGTGTGTGTGTGATCGATCGTATTACTGTTATTGATGCAAATAAATTTAGTTCGCATTGAAACGCATTAACTGTCAATCAAAATACTGGTTATAATAGAATATTGCCACATTCACAAACCGAAATTGGTTAAGTTATATATATATATATATGGAGTACTACATATATATATATATTAGTATAATATGAATATACTTGTATGCATGTATGTATATAGTCAAATAAACCAACATACCATAAAACATAATCGAAACAAACTCAACTGTACAAAAATCAAATGAATAACTAAAACTAAACGTTTGCCACATCCGAATTTGCCAAGGGAAGAGGTATATATAGTATATATATATTGGTAGTATCCAAATCTCAGTTGTATTGGAAGTCACGTGCTCCTGGTCCTTCGGCTCGGCTTCGTTCTGAGAGTTTAGTGCAAAACGGAGCTTCGTGGAACTTACCTTCGGGGTTTGGGGCGGGGAGGGATCGGTTTTATTTTCGATTTGGCTACGCTTCATATATATACATATCTGGTATATAGTTTATAAAGAACATGCGCCACGCTTGGACGGAGATGAATTGTTAAAGCTTCAAAGCAAGACCTGTATAGTTAGTTGGTTAGTATAGCAAGTTAGTATATAACTAAAGGCAGCACTAAAGTATATATATTACAAATGGAAGGTGCAGTTGAGAAAGTTGATATCTAGGTGATATATATATAGTATATATTGATAGATAGTTAGATAGATAGTATAAGTGAGAGAGTTAAATTAAGGTACGAAATAAGTATATGTAGTAAAAATGTTTATTTCTGATTATGCCAATTTTTTTGTCTATTACATAAATGAAAATTCCAATTTCTTTTCTTACAAATTCCACTTGCCATAATTATAATTGCAATTATAATTACGCTATAATAATGAGTGTGTGTAAACGAAATCAAATCAAAAGCTACAATATAACTATAAATATATGTATGTATATAAGTACACAAATGATTTGTTGGGCTCGCCGTTAAAACTATCACTAGCATGATTAACAAATGAGAGCGTAACAGTCGGCCGGCCCGACCACACTGATACCCGGTACACAGAAAGACGTCAAGACTCGGACTAGCATCGAGAACTTGTCTCAGATTTCATTTAGTTCTTTACAGAATTCTGTGTATGGGGCTAGGTTTTGGAGCTACTTACTGGCTAATTATCACTTGTTGACTAACAGAAACTTAGGACAATGAAATGGATTCGATTCTTTATACAGAACTTAAGTTGATGTGTTTCTGTGTGTGTGTGTGTGTGTGTGTGTGTGTTGAGTGTTGTCTAGGTACTACTGGAGCTAAGTATATGTGTGATATGACATAGGACATAAAGGTTAGCTTAATGATTAAGAGATTCAAGAAGAAGAGTTACGTTATGTATTCGTGAAGCTCTTGACCTTGGAATATATAAACATGATGAGCAAATTTCATTTGAGTTAATGCGGCAATTGACAAGCATTCAATCAGACTTGACCATTGCACAATACTTTTTATCATTATCTTCATCGATTTCTCTTTTTGTTTCATATTTAGTTTCCATTCATCAGTTGCGATTTGATGTATGTACATTCGTTTAGGTATGTAGTCTACGTGTCACATATACCTAGTAGATCGTTAAGCTTACTTATGATACATAACATATGCAGTAGTAATAATATGATAGATGTGTTCTGGTTTTGGTTTTTGTTTTTGTTTTTCTCTTCGTCTCTATAAATGTAAGTAACAAAATGTAAAGAAATGTAACTACAGATACGAGTACCTACTTAAGCGCTACATGCTTTAGCATTAACAACATGCATTTCAAATAGTTCAGATGCTGACTTGAAGCTCGTGTACCAGAGATCCCAAGCACCAGTGTACCAGGTATTAGCATCAATGTACCAAAGAATTAAGTACTTAAGCGTCCAGTATCAAAGTATCCTCTAACATGTATCAAGTACCAATGAACCAAATACCGAGTACTCAGTATTAAAGTACCGAAGTATATAAGATACCAAAAAATCAAGTGCCAATGTACCAGAGTAATAATACCGAGTACCAAAGTAGAAAGTACCGCAGAACAAAGTACCAAGCATTAGTTATGAGGTACCTTATACCATAGAATTTCATATTTAGTAGAACTGAGCTCTTGAGTAGTACCAAGTAGCAAAGACCAAGATAAGTTGGGTTATGGTACCTAACACTTGGCGTCAAATATGTACTAAACTCGTTATACCTTTTACCTTTTACCTTTTACTTAGTAACTAGTGAGTAGTACTTGGTGCCTAATATTTGATACCCAGTAGCTGGAACCTAGTACAAGAGATTCAAAGTCACGCATCTGGCAAGTGCAGCAAGCTTGCATTTTGATTCATTGGACTGTGTTAATCGATATATAGATATATGTATATATACATATAGATACAGATAGATATTTATATATGTATATATGTATATGTATATACATATATCTAGATAAGTAAGAGAGTCGTATGCAGCACTTCTTTATATGGAAGTCTTATTATGCAACGTCTTTTGTTTATGTTTTTTGTTGTTTTAGTATTTTGGTATTTTGTTATTTATGTTAATGTGCAGTCAAACTTTGTATCTACTCGTAGCATTGTTATAGATTATAGTATAGTTAACTGTGCTTGCAGAACCAAAATTAACGTCATTTAACATTTTGTTTGAAATGCGAAACTTAAATAATCAGAACTTGGGCTACAAAACAATTTCAAGTTACGTGTATGTGTGTGTCTGTGTGTGTATTGGGCATGATAAATGTCACCAGTTAACTGTTATTGGTTTGTGTGTGTGTGTGTGTGTGTGTGTGTACTGTTCTTTTAAACGCTTCTGGGAAAACTAACTAACTGATCTGATCGGATCGGATCAAATCGGATCTGATCGAATCTGATCTGATTTGCTGATCTAGCTGTGCACAAACTGTTGGAGCAGTATTAGCCATGGCATTGTGATGATTATGAGTTGTTGATAACCGTTAGCGAATGAGTATAAACTTTGACTAGAATTGCACATATCTTCCTCACAAAAGCACATATGTCCATTGCCTGAACTTTCCATCATGCACACGTGATCGACCATGAATAAATTGATTTGTAATTGTGACGTACACATGCGTCGCACCACCTCGTAGGCTGCAAGTACAAGGATAGGCATCAACTCACATATCGTGACGCGTGACACGTGGCACGTGACACGTGACATGCGATATGCGACTCGTGGCTCGTTAACTCTGTAACTTACGTGATCGCTGATGTCGCACCATCTTCACACAGCAGCCATTGCAGGTCATCAAGGGCGGCTGATCGCGCGGCAACGCCGTATAGTTGAACGGATCCTTGCACCGTGCATCCGTCCACGAATCGCACTCGTAACAGTAAATCGAACGCGCTGCAGTATAGAGCACAACATATATATTACCGAACAGCATAAATCATGTGCGAGTACAGAATTCGTCTGCTCATCTGGTTCTTCAACTACTCGACTAGAATACAGCAAGCGTCTATATAAGTAGATATATACAAACTCTACGTTTATCATTCTTACAGAAATACATGCAATCAAACTGAATTCAATTAAAACAGCAATGCGAAAAATTATAGCAAGTTTTATGGCATTATTATAGCATTGTTTTGCGTGCATTTTAAAAGTCATATTTAAGTCAAGACTACGGAATAATTTTTGTGTTTAGCATAAATAATAAATAAATATATATATACAATATGTGTGAAGAGCAAATATTCTTTCTTTATCCATATATGTACATAGTAATGTGAATCAAGTATTACTAAAATTTGGATTGCTTTCGGTAGATATCAAGAAGTTTTTATGCTCGTCTACGAAGCGAAACGAGTATATTGGAATTTGTGCAATGTTCGTCCTACTAAATTTTCAATGAAATAAGTAGGTATAATAAGAAAGTACTAAGATCTTATTATTTAATGATTTGGAGAATAAAAGAGTAGATATTGACTATCAAATACATATCCAAATCAGACTTGTCTTGTAAGGTTTAAAATATTTATGTACAAAGATTTGTATATATTGATAATTATAATTCGATATCTATTTACTTTTGCACCTGGATCAACTCTATAGTTAAAGCCATTGCAAAAATTTAAACAGATCAATGTATATATGTTCAAATTTTTAATTTTTCTGACTATAACTGATTGTTTGGATAGTACAGATTCCTTACAATTGCCATTTCTATAAATATAAATTATAAATTCCTATTTGAAAATACTTTTTGATAAATAAATATATTTGAGAACCAAAAAAAAAAAAAAGGAAATATGAACAGATTAACAGATATTCAAGATGCATTGATTAACTAATTTTACATGCAGTTCACAAATGTCAAAGGTCAAGGATCATAGGTCAAAGGTCATATCGGAAAATGTGTTAAAGACAAATTTCTGAGGAATATTTGTTCTTTTTTTCGTTACGCACACACACGCACAACAAAATAAGGGCATACACACACACATATATATAGAGAGAGATAAATGTAGTTGCAAAAGTAGTAGAGAAATGAAAAGTATAGATCAGAAGTTATCTAGGTATTTAATGTTATAAACGAGTCAAGTTAAAGTTTTTGGGTTCTTGGAATATGCAAAGATCAGATCCAAATAAAATTTGGATAGAAATGTTAAATTTGTTTTTTGATATTTAGGAAATCAATTTTGATATAAAAGAAAAGCAAAGGCTTTGAGAGAGGGGGCTGGGCTGAGAGTAAAATGAAATAAATAGGCACATAGTAGGTGTATCAAAACATTTATAGACAATTAGTTGCGTATTCACAGAGCCTTTCTGAACAAAATGCCGATAAAGAAAAGTTCTGAATTTTCTATTTTCACTTGAGTTAATTAAATTTTCAAATTATTACAAATAGAATCATTTTTTGTTTTTTTTTTTTTTTTTTTTTGTATGTTGTTTTCTTTTTGCAAAAAGATTATTATATAGTATTTATTTAAGCATTTGTATATAGGCAAAGGATTAATGGATTCATACTTTGACATTCGGCTGAGGCTGATGGAATCCATACAAAAGTCAGAAATCCAAATATGGCTGCAAATAAACAATAAGAGGAAGAGCAAAGTAGAAGACAGGAAGATGAAAATGAACCGTTCACAGTTGCTGTGTGGAAAGGTGTGAGAAATACAAATATACATTTACAAAGGACATTTCTAGCACAGGTCACACTCAATGGAATGGCTTAGTGATTATCAAATGTTATCATATATTATTTGTTTACATATATGTATATCTAACAGAAATTAGGAAATCTTATTCACATTTTGATGGCTTTATTCGAACACACCAGGCTAAATTTTAAAACGTTAAATAAGCTCAGGATCAGCCTGGACTAATCCACTTATAGTATGTACATATTGTTATATATACACTGTACTAAGTTCTGTATACCACTTCATAGTATACCTGATCTATTGTATTATTGATATTTATTTACATATGTGGTATAGTATACTGTGTTATACATGTTGATATTCTGTATACCACTGCATACCATATTATTGATATGTCATATACACCTTTCATCTGTTATACACTGTTATGCTTGCGCCATATAATGTGCTATAAAATGCTATGTGTTATATATTTAACTTTTATAACTTAGTGCTATACATTTTGTTACACATGATGTATATACATAGTGTTCTAATCTGTTATACACACTATTGTGTTTATCATCCCACGCAATACCATCTCATCTGTTATACACCTGTCATATATATTATATTGTGTTCCACAATGTGTTGTACCATTCCATTAAATGGACTGTGCATGCATCAGGACTTAGACGTGGGATATTCAAACTCTAGGGTTGGATGCGCGCCACACACACAAATGAAAACTAAAAAGAACAGTTAGAATAGCCTGACCTACGATTATAGTGGAGTACAATTAGTAGCGAGTGTGGAGAGTACAGAGTGTGTAGAGAGCAGCTGTCAAGGATGGGATTAATTACATAGTTAGTCTTATAAGTATCTATACATATTGTTGTAGGTTTTGTAAATGCATTTGTACAGTGTTTCATTACGTTATGTACCCATTGGTTATGCAAGACATGATACGAGCAGACGACACATTGTTGCTGACCATCATTTGTGTCTGTGTCTGTGTGTGTATGTGTGATCAAGGAGTATATGTATTTATATACGACTGTTAATACGATTAATCGACAGGAACAGCAAAACTCAACTGAAGGCAACCGAACTCAATCAACTGCTGTGGCAATTATTTAACTTATTTACGTATATTTTACAGGGGAAGGTAACTCAGCTGCTTTAAGACAAACTTGCAGTAGAATCATATATCATTTATATAGGTTTCAGAAAGATTTTTAGAAGAAAGAGTATTTAAATTTTAGCTCAATTACTCCAAAGGTTTTTAGTTTAGAAATATATTCCAATCGAAGAACGAAAACATTAATAGGAGAGTTAATTTTCTATATATATTTTCTTTTTACTATTTTCATTCATTTAAAAAATCAATTTTAACTCAATTTTCTATATGTAATGCAATATTTTTTGAAAAAACTGCAAAAATACTTTAAGCTCTAGCTGAAGTTTATGGATATTTTTGTTTTTGTTTTGTTTTTAGTACAAATACATAACTAAATAATATACACGATTATTTTTTAGTAAGGAAACGCAAAATGTAAAACAAGGTTCTGTAAATCATATGCAAAACAGAAATCGTTGAAGGAATTTTGAAACCGAAAATGAAAACTTACTTGGAAAACAATTATCAGCTGTACCGAATTTTGCCAATGCCAAAAAAACTTGTGTGAAAAACGAAATTGTTGTTAAATTAATTTTTGATTAAAATGAATACAATTTAATACAATTACTAACTAATTGAGAGGGAGAGAGAGATATCCAACTGTTATATTCTGTTATACTCTTCTACGCTTCAAACCACACACACAATTCATGTTGTTTGCTCTTCTGTTAGCACATCGCTCATACGACGCGTTGCCCGACGCTGTAAAAATGTGTCTTTGTGTGCGTGTCTGTGTGTGTTTGGCTGTGGCACATATTTAGTTAGTCTATTTATACACTTCACACATTCTATATTGGTTCACGATTATAGTAAAATATAACAACAAGATTCTGCTTCCATTCTGCCCTCGTAAATAATCTTTGTGTGGTCTTTGAAGTGCCTCGCGTTTGCCTTCGACTTTTTGGCTAATAAAAACAAGTATGGGCCGATAAAGCAGCTGCTCGCTACTTGTTGGCTGGCCTTAATTGAGTATTAATGCTTAATCGTAATCACTTGCTGTCGACTGCATTTATGCTGTCTTTACCTGCCAAGGCCAGCAGCAATTGTCTGGCTGCAATTTCTTTAGTCCACATCTTTGTTTGATGGCTTCACTCCTTAGTTCTGTAATTGATAAATATTAATAATGAAATATTTCATATAGAAATTGGCCTCTTACCTGTCTAACTTGATTCGATATGATTGAAATTGTGTTTGGTCGCCCGTTTCGGCATAGAAGGGCTAAGACTTATAGCTGTCCAGCTGCATAACTTCCTAGCTATTACGATATATCGTAACTAAAGGTGAAGAGGGTGACATTTGTTTATAATAATAATAATATTTATGATATTAGATTTTTGTATATGCAATAAAATTCATATAAACATCCGACTAAATTTATATTATAAGCTCTCTGGTAACATTTTAAAATGTATTCAAAAATCAATATAGCCAAATATTTACATATGGAATGCTGACATTGTTCGACTTTTTTGAAAAAAAAAAAAAAATCGAATAAGATTTATCTAATTTTCTAAGAATGGCATACAAGCTCAATGATGGTAAAGGGATATATATGTATACCACCTGTGTAGATATAATATATACATATACTTTTACTCTATCTATAGACAAAGCACAACAGAAGTTGGAAAATTTTCTACCTTTCTAAATCATAGTACTATTTTGTGTTAGGTGTTATCTATATTTCAATATATATTCAAAATTTCAGTATCTTAAGGACATAAAATGAACAAGGCGAAGGAGTGTAAATTTTCCAAACTTGTTTAAAATTCACGAACTGTATATTTACATATGTTTATCTTCTACTTCTTCTACTGAAGCAATAAATTGTATTTGACAGCTGTCAAAACAAATTAGGCTCATACTTGTGTGGGTGTGAAGAAAAGTTCTCTAATAATAATAATTCATGGTATATATAAAGAAAATCAACTTGATTTTAAATGAAAGATCTATCCACACCGAATTATAAACAAATTATTGAAGGCATTTGAATGAACTATGTAGCTTTGTGTGGCATTTAAATGTGCCATAAATGATGAAGTATTCAATGATCCCGAAATTTTGATGATAATTATTAACGAAATTTCCGCTTCGTTGGCCTCCAACTCGTGTGTACGTCATATGAGCACTCACACACACACACAAATGCACACATGCATACGTATAAATGAATATATTTCAACAGATTTATCTATATTTATGTAGAATATTATCCATGCATATGGAGAGTAAACTATTTATAGCAACGCATAACCTCTAATAAGTGTTCTAGGTCAATGTGCGAGACCAAGTGACATCGCTGCCATTGATGTCAATAGAGTGTGTGGCAAAGCCAATCAATGCGTGTGTGTGTGTGTGTGTGTGTGCACATGTGAGTGTGTGCATTGAACCCATCGAGCGCGACCTGTGCTTCTGTCAATGTGAATATACTTGTGTATCTATGTGTGTGTGCGTCGCATATGTGATTAAGTATGCTGGAGGCAAAGGTGTTCTAGTGGGATAAAAGGAATATGTGTGTATATGTATGTGTGTACATATGATGTATTCTGGTTAATATTTTATTGAAGGAAGCAAGAGATTATGCATAACCTGTACATACATATGCATGAATGTATGTATGAAAACATTTATGTATGTATGCTTATGTGTATATATGTACATATGTGTTTAAAAGTATTTTATCAGATATTAGATTCGAGCCTCTTCTAAGATCTTTAAGCTTTTTCCAGACTGACATTCAGAACAGGTTACTTTAATTTAAAACTTCGATCATTTCTCTATGTATATTATTTTAAATAAATCGATTAAGTATTTTTATTTTTGAAACTGAAAATGAGAGCTTTTATAAAACACAACAAATTAAAAAATATTTCTCATTGAGAAGAGATCACTCTAATAATAATATAAATTTCTTTATAATAATTATACCAGACTTTAAATATATAAATATATATTCTTTGTTGAATAAAAACTAAAGTTGTTATAAGATGATACTAATTTAAAATCAAATAAACACGCTTATAAACGCTACACCGCATATTTTATAAACAATCCGAGTTAGTCAAGCTACACTGTACTATAAATTTTCAATAAAACATTGTGTTACTAGCAGACACTAAAATTTGCATTTATATATGTTGATGACATGAGGAATTCGCATCATTTGCGCTGAACAGAAATAAACCGCCAAAGCTTTAAGTGTATAAGTAGAGTACGTATATGTGTATGTGTTTTTGTGTGACACACACACACACACACTTTGTTCTTCTTTATTGACAGATTTTGGGTGAAGGTTTTATTTTTATTATAGCCACTGACTATAGATTTTGGTTTGTTTTGTTGTTTATTATTGTGCTTCGACCCGGCGAGTGCTTGATTTATGGCAACAAACAAATGTATGTGTGGGTGTGTTTGTATGTATAATTGGCAGCTATCACATGTATAAATGGTGCTCTGATTTTGCTCGAGTATGTGCTTAGCTAAATGATTTAATTAATTGTTGCTGTCAAATAACTGTTATTGCGCTTTACAGTAGCCGGTTATTAAGCAGGGCTCGCGCCACAGGCACAAGCACAGCTGAGAAGCAGACGGAGAGAGCAGAGCGAGAAGAGCGTGGGCCAATGCAATGTAAACAACACGCACACAGCTGCAACTCACACGCACACACGCTCTCACGTTGGTCTTTGCTCTTTGTCGGCTCTCTTTACGGCCTGCGTTTCCTCTCTCCCTCTCTCACACTTATCGGCTGGTTAGGCGGACTGCGTGTTTCCTTTTTCGCACGCACTTTAATATTTTGCTTTTGTAGTTTGAGTTTGGCTCTTTAACATTGCTCATTTAACTTTCAGTTCTTAAGCAAAATGAAACATTTATTACCTTTTGCACTTGCACGTGAGGGTATTGATTAGCAAAGTATTGTTTAGCGACCGGAGGAGCACTGTCCTGCGGACTGGCTCAATAGTCGCGCAGGTGTTTCATAATACACATGCAACTAGAAATCGATTTGGCTGCCCAAAAGTGGGCCAAACGCGACCCAATGCAATTTTTTCTGCTTATGCTCGTTTAAGTTGACCGTTTTCTTTAGCTTCTCGGCCCGTGTTGCGGCTGACATGCCCACAATTGCAAGGCTGTTGGCTTTAACAGCGTGAATTCATATTGATTATGCTTCCTTTACTTTGACGTTTTCGTTTTCGATTCTTCAATTTGCAGTCGACACGAAATTTGTTGCTTGAATTAACACTTTATGCAATTCGAAATCACTTGTATTTGTATTCTTCACTAATTTTCATGTGTGTAGATTTTATTATTTAGTATTCTATATAATTTTTATTTATATTTATTGTCATCTATTTATTTACAAGCGACAATTTGTGTCTTTTACGCTTTCAGCCAACACGCAACGACATCAACTGAGTCTATGCGCTACATTTTTCAATTTTCCTTATGTGCTTTCTCTCTCCACTTTGGCGCATGGCATTTTGTTGCTATTTTCAAACACTGCCTGCTGCCTGTGCGTGCGTGTGGGTGTGTGTGAGTGTGTGCTTTCCGCTACTGTTAAGCTTCTGGCGCCAACATATTCCAGTATTGGAAAACGCCGTGAGAAAGCTTTAGATATGAGCTTTTCAACTGCTTTGCCGATTAAACAGCAATGAAGGGTAAAACTAAATGTCGTAAGTTTTACGATATTGAATGGATGAAACGGGTGTATTAGCTTGCTGTTACAAGCTTCAGTTTTTAGCGAGCTTCAACAGATTACTCTACTATTATCTATTAATTAATTATTAATAAATAACTGAATGGGCATTCTAATATGTCTTGATGGTCCCCGCTCGTTGTTTCGGTCTCCTTAGGAATAGCCTAAGACTGAATCTACGATTAACTTATCAGAAACTCAATACACATATATATTTTCTTGATAATACTCTTTATTATGAACTGAAATCTGTATAGAAGTAGTTTGCTTGAATTTGTGTGGGGTTAAGCACAGCTTAAATTAAATATTAGTTTTTAAAATGATGTTGCATAAATAATATAACATAAATACTCGCACATACATATATAAATTAACACGTATACGAAAATATTATTCAAGATTGTAACGAAACGGAATCAAGATGAAAGCAATTCCATCAAATTCCCTTTCAATTCTTGTTGAGCATTTCGACTGGCAACTCGACGGGCTGTAAGTGGCCTTCGAACAGGATGTATATACAGGATATTCATAGGACTAGGCATAGTCGCGTGATCCTTCCAGTTTGCGTAGCTGTAAAGAGGACGCAGGAGTTAAGAAGAAGTCAAGCTGTGTATTATATGAGGCTATCAGGCTACTTATTTACAATCTGAGTGTGAGTGTAGGTGTAAAGGTGTGTGTGTGTGTGTGTGTGCTGTTTCAATAGAAACTCTTGTCATGCCAAGCCGCAAAAGCTCTCACCTCACGTTCATCGGCATGCGTGCGATATTTCTCAGCGTTTTCGCTGCTCTTGGGCGTGTCCTTCGCCTCCAGTATCTGAGTATAGATCAGCGCGGCCGCAATGCCGCCCAGTATGGGGCCGGCCCAGTAGATCCAATGGGCGCTCCAATTGCCCGTGGCAAAAGCAGTGCCCACAGTGCGTGCCGGATTCATGCTGGCGCCCGTATAATGAATGGTGCCCAAGTGGCCCAGGGTCACTGCCATGCCAATGGCCAAGGGAGCTGTGTACCGCGAGTCGGGCTTGTTGGCATCGCAGGCCCCAAACACGGTCAGCACCAGAACGAGGCCCAGGAAGAACTCAATGCCCATGCCTTGCAGCTCCGTCAGATTCTGCGCCAGGCTGGTGTGACCCAGACCATTGTGATAGTTGGAGTCGAGCAGGATCTGCAATGAGCATGGATGAACGATTTAATAGCACCAAACTTATGCTATATAAAAATATCTATTCTCATAACTTTTTTAATCATTTGTGCTTATTATTTATTATTTTGTTAACTTCTTTATCTCAATTAAATAATATATGTAGCTATTAGCTCAGCAAAATACTCAAAGATATTTAACCGAATAATAGCCTTGCTTTGATACTCTATCTGTTCGACTTCTTTGTTAATATCGTAATAATTGTTTTAAGTTTTGTAAGTATAATTTAAAATGTTTCGATATCGAATAGACATATATATATATATTTATATATATAAAAATAAATAAATTTATATAAAAATATAAATTTAAATATATATATATATATATATATATATATATATATATATTTAAATTTATATTTTTATATAAATTTATTTATTTTTATATATATTCATTTATTTTTTTATTTGCTATCTGTCGTATACGTATATAATATAGGTTATAAAATGAGTATTTTCTAATATTCGTATAACCATAAAAATTTTATTAAGCAAATATAATTTGTTTTGAACTTTTAATTGGGAAGAGGTAAAATAAATGTTTCTTTGCTTTTAAATATTGTACTATAAAAATTACTATAAAAATATATATAAAAAATTATTTATTTTAATAGGAAACTATTTATTCTCCACGTTTAGAATTATTGTGCAGCTCATATTTATTTAAATACAAAAAAAAAAATAGACTTTCGCCCTTTCTATATTTTCCTTAAATATATTTCAATTATAAACACTTATAATTATTTAATAAATTAATTTTAAGGTATTGTAAAAACTAATAGCCTAATAAACTGAATCTATATATATCATTATATATTTTGCATCATTTGTGTATAAATGTATTAAATGTACCATTTGTTTTTATCATACACATATATAAGCTTTATATTTAAATACATTTATTACTCACCTTAACAGCCGCCGTGCCTGAAATGGCGCCCAGACACTGGAAGACAATATAGAAGATGGCGCGCAGCACGCTGATCCGCCCCGCTACCAGCATAGCCACGGTAACGGCTGGATTGACATGGCCACCGCTCAAATGGCCCACGATCTAGAGGAATGATTAGCAATCAGTTATCAATCAGTTATCAATAGCACAGTCAAGCTTTGCTCACCGTAATGGCCATGAAGACACCCAGGCCAAAGGCCAGCGCCTTGAATGTGCCATCCTCGGGCTGTGTGCAGGCGCCGCAGGCAAAGAAGTTCAATATCAGATTGCCAATGAACTCGCCGATGAGCGCCTGCCAGAGACGCAGATCCTTCGACTTGAACTCATTGAGACCCAGCGAATACTCGAACTTGCCCATCTTCTCCAGGTGGCGGTCAGCTAGACAATGACGCACTGCAACACACAAGACACGAGACACAGTCCAAGAGCTCTATTAATAATGTATGTGCACTCTCTGCTTGCATTTGAACAATTGTCTAGCATAAGTGGGCGATGACCGCATTTGAATGCAGCTCTTAATACGGGCCACAGACCAGCCGGACTCGATGCGAATATGAATGAGTAATGTCTATGACAGCCATATCCGTTTGATGACATCGTTGTCATGCTACCTAATTGGTTTTCCGACACCTCCACAGCTACATTTGCAGCAATTAAATTGACTGCCGGAGAAGCGTTTAAATATGCATTCCATTGCACTGAATGGGGAAAATACCCATATAATAGTCATGTATTTTATGTATATCTTCTTCTCAATCTGCTTCTTAATGTCTTTAAATATGTGGCTTTCATTGGTTTGCAGAGCAAATTCTGGAGCTAGAGCTTCAATTAAATTGAAGAATAGAATTCTGAACCAATTGGCATAATTAAGTGTTAAACAGAATGTTGGCGATTGGGAAGAAAAATACTTCCGTAGTGGATGAGTAATATGTAATTAAATTCCTAATTCATTGTATCCAAGGAGAAATTATAACCAAATTATAATACATTTTTAACTTAAGAAAGAAAAATTAATAACACTTTATTAAACACTTTAAAGCTTATTAATTGCTCTGCAAAAGTAAACCTATGCAAACACTACACCCACATTAAGTTTTCTACACTTGTATTAATCGACTTTTAACACTTCATTTCCGACACCTACAGCACTCTACAATCTTAAGGTTCACAAGTCTTTGTACACCGCCAACACTTTCAACACTCTCTCCACAACCTTAAGACCCTCAACGGTTTCAATACACTCTCGCCACACTGTATACTTTCTACACTTTAAAGTAGAATACTCTACTCTACATACATATGTTTCACTACCTACACTCTTTATACCTACTACACTACCACATCTACATATACTATACATTCGACTCCTCACTATGAACTCTCCAAACACTTTATGCTAAAGTCTACACTCGACATGTGCTACATACTCTACATACGTTTCACTCTCTACACTTCCTACACTCTCTACATTATCCACAGGCATACACACTCTGCATACGTTTTACTCTCTAAATTTTTTACATTCTCAACGTACTCTATGCAATCTACGTACACTCTACACACTCTGCGCATTCAATACGCTCTACACACTGCACTTTCTTGACTTTACACTTTCTGTGTAGTACACACTCAAAGTACTCCATATACTCTACTACTATACACTCTCTACGCACTATATACACTCTACACCCTCTTTACCCACCAATACACTCTACTCTTAATTCTTAAGTCTTAGCTCTACTCTACTTTACTCCATTTATACACTCTACACATCCCACTCTCCACTCTACTGTACACACACTCTTAGGTACGCTGGCCTTAGACGTCACTTAAATGGCAAATGAAAATATGAAAAATTGTTAATTGAGCATTAAGCAACTATTGGCTCAACTGCGTATTGTGGCGATTACATTATCAGCATATAGAATGGAGTGCTATTTGCATAATTGGCAACAAGTCGCGAAATTGGGGCAAATATTAAATGATAAATATTGACTGCAGAGCGGCATATGTATATATAAGTATTTGAGGCTTAGCCTAATTGAATGCATGATTCGAATCTCTGGCCCACACTCCTCACCCTGTCCTCACCGAGAGTGGCATTTTATGTGTTTGCCCTTGAACCTCAACCACGCATGGCTCGGATCGGGGGGATTAGCTACAGCAGCTGGGACCTCTGTCCGTCTCCCTCTCTCTTTCTCTCTCCCCTTCCCTTGCAGAGTGGAACATAAGTACTTGAGCCGCAGCCTAATTGATTAGCCATAACTGCTGCCCCTCTTGACCTTCCTCCCTACCCCCATCATCCGCCCTGCCTGCTTATGGTCGGATCGTCTGTTTGCTTTTCGTATTTGGCGCAAGTGTTGCTCGCAATACGGTCAAGAGCAGTTGCCAGGCCAAAAATGGGTTACAAGCGGTTGGCCATGCCATCGCAAAGCAACATAACAGACACAACAACAACAACAGCAACAACAATCATACTTTACTTTAGATGAAACGCATGATAAATGTGTTCTAAGAGCCAGAGACTTGCCATAAATATCAATCAACGATTACGCAATGCTGAATTCGAAATGAAAACTT